GGGTGCGCCATAGCTTTCAAATTCTATTCCTCGAAAATTCTTTATTTTCTGTATTTGACTGTATTTTTCAGAAGGACCCTTCTTGAAGAGTTTTGGATTAAATTTTGTTCTTTTTTCGATCAAAATCTGCGATAACGCTCTGATGGTAGAGTTTCTAGCAAAAACTATCATCAGAGAGGGAAAATAGCTATTAGATGCGATATGACTCTTCTCAGCAGCTCCTGCACTCAAAATGTAAAAAATCAACTTTTTCTCGTCAAGGAGCTTATAGGGCTTTCGAATCTTATTCGGATACAATTTATTTACTCTGGATAGCTTCTTCCCATCGAATTAGAACATACAAACCAATCAACAGTCATTTTTCTCGTGTTTCTTTTGGAACCTTTCTCCTCAAAGCCTCTTTAGCCCATTTTGAGCAAATGTCTAGAATGACTCTTTTGTTTGAATGTAGCTTTCGGCCGGTGAGGGGCAGAAAAAACCTCCCTTGTGATACCCTTTCAGTGTTCCTAAATTAAGATGGAGCTCCGTAGATGCGCAATATTGAGCCTAAAAACGTTTTGCAAGCGTTTAGAACGCATTTCATGGGAGAGCAAAACGAGCCTATGCATCAAGGAACCGGACCTTGTTGTCATGCCTATCAGTCCACCAAGCTACCCGCTGGGCCACCGCAGGTAAGAGGTTTGGTGATCTGTTCGTTACTGGGTATAAGACAGGGAGGCATCGGTACCGTAACTCTGTTCCCAGAATCGTTTAGCAGATTTGGAACACAGATTTGAGATCAGCGTTCGAAACTACCTACGCGGGTGTACATCTCATCTTGAATGGCACTGCGACCAAGTATCCTTCCTTCAGAGTAAGGTGTATTACACATGTTATTAAAGCAAACCGTATTGAACTAAGTCCAACCAAACAATATCTACAACTTTGGTAATGGGACAAGAGAAGCGCACGCGACACGCGCCGGGAAACCCCCTAAAATTTCAAGTGCGATTATTCGATTTTGATGAGGTTTTTTTTGCATCGAACAGTTCTTTACATCGAGGTCTAGAAAACTTTACGCGTTGGTTTTAGAGGTATTCTGATTCTGTCTAAACCATCCAATATCGCCACGATTTCTTTGCTTGTTAGAGCACTCAATGTTCGGACTAGGATGATTCATTGTGAATCATGTGAACGTGTGCTAAATGTGATACCCTACGACGTAATGTTTGTAACATAGAAATCTTGCGCAATGGAGCAACAAACAGACATCCTCATTTACTGCTCACTTAACAGATCGGAAGGAAATCGGAACTGAGTCTGTGTAGGCTTCTCAAAATCAAACCGCTCTGTCTGAAGTCACAGTCCACAATAATTTTGGATTATCTGGTTTAGATGGGTAGCGGAAGTGCTAGTCAAGAATAATGCGAAAGTGGCGAGGAAAACCCGCAAATCGGTGTATTTAGAGAAATGTAAGGTTTCAGAAACGAAGTAAAGTTAGGGTTTGGACGAGAATGTTACGAAAAAGCTGCATGGAAGGGGTACCTGGACAAGCTGTTCAAACGAGCACGGCGTTGCATACAGCTGGATGCAATATGCAGCGTGCATGCGAGGTGTGGGTACCGGTGCGAATGGTGTGTTCTCTGAAGCTTTTACAGGGCTTTGACAACTCGTCCGCTAGGCGTGTACGTCTGCTAAGCCGTTTTGGGCCCTTATTAAGTCCTATCTTGACTGTTTTCGATCCGACAGCGTCCTTTGGGCTTTCTTTGGGGGTCACAGTTTGATTTCAGGGAGAGAGCTCAGAAACCATTTCTAACGTGAACATCATGCCGGTTTCTTGAAGGCACAGTTTCTGAGTTCGCGTTAATGCAAGAGAAATCTTTTCCTTCTAGCAACACAGAATTGAATGTGGGCAAGAGATATTAACCCATTGACGACCACGGCGTTTTGCGGGAAAACGCCGCGAGGGACCGGCACGCTTTTCGTCCACCCGCGACTGCAGCCGTTTTGTGGACTTCATGGTCCAGTATGACCGCTTTTTCAAGTTTATAAGAGAAAATTATAAGTTCTTAGGAATATTCATTTGAATGGGTTTGGTAAGAATGCCCTTATTGAGTGATTATTGATCTTTTTATGGAACCGGCACTCGTTCTAGTGGTCATTCAATTATGAGTTAAATCATTACCAGAAATCGCTTCGGGGAACTTTTATTTGCGTTACGTTGGGAGCTTTGCCTTTGGTCGATAACAGCGAAGATGCTATTGATGACCGTCTTTCAGAAATATCTCATTTTTTGAAATTGTTCAACGAACGAAAAATTCAACAAGCTAATGTACTCCTTCGAAAAAACACCTTTACCATTGTAAAATTAGAAGATTTTCTAGGAACAGCTGTATGTAGTTCCATTTAGGCCTGATGTAATGTTTTGAGTAGAAAAATTGTAAAAAAATTGGAAATATAGATGAATAAAACAAAAAAAATACAACTGCAGTCCACATGTGGACTGCACGGTCCCACATGGCCGAAAACGTGCAGTCCACATGTGGACTGCATGGTCGTTAATGGGTTAAGGGATGAATTGAATTGCAAGTGACCATGTAGTCGTTGAGATCATGAGCTGATAGATGGGTCATTTTTTTTTGAATGGCAGGAAGAGACAAGTAACTCGCGCCTGTGTTAGCACCGTGGTGAATGGCTTTCGTCTTGCTTTACCGTCATTTGCTTTTGTGAATTGTTGGTTAGTCTAGAGATGCTTGGCACAACTGCACACACTCCATCATTTTATTATCTCGCACCTTCAAATCTTTTGCATGGACAACCGGAAACACCAGTGGTTTCCCATCGAGGTTAGGTTGGATAAGTGATATTGCTTGGGGTAATGCAGAATATTTGCCTAACATACCGAATTCACCACTAATTGTATGGACCTTCCTTCAAGGTGGTCATCAGCGAAGAGGCCACACATAAATGTTTTGGGACTTCCTGTATGCTCTATATATCTATATACGGAGCGCCAATTTTGTGTGTCTGTATGACGTTTTGTCTGCCAGTCCGCAAAAATCACATGGGTGCGATGAGAAGTGTGAAATGCCACCTCGATGAGGAACGTGCTGTGAAATAGGAAGTCTACCAAAACTAATTAAATAGATCCCCTGCCAGTACGGATCGTTTTTGGTTCTTTCCAATCATAGGGCGATCAAACCTCCAGAAAGGATAGGAGGTAAGATGAGAAAACTTCTTCGCTGGTGTCAGGTATCATCAAACATTCTGCAAAATTAAAAGAATCAATTATCTCACTAGTAAACCAGTACTTTATCTTTATATTTAGTACTTCACTCTTAATGCGAGATTCCCAGAAATGAAACCTAAGACGAATTTTGTTCGGAGCATTGGTAAAGGAGCTTAGATATTGTTTCTGTTTTTCTCGAGTAAGATCGTGGATAAGCGGTTGTGGACATATGATGCAGTCATTAGCGTACGTAGCTAACCAGGGAGAGCTAGTCTGGTGACCGTGGGACTTTGAGTGGAGACCCAGATAGATCGGTAGAGTCTCGAATGCTGTTCACGAAAAGATTAACTGAAAGTGCAAAATGGTTTCCCTTAAAAAGTTATGGGGGCTCGAAATTCGCTTGGCATAAGCATTAATTGGATATGCGAACTCGTCGCTTCAGTATCAAGCGCCGACGTGGCATAGTGGTAGTGGTCTCGTTTCATAGACGTAGGTACGAGTTTGCTCTCCGCCACCGTCGGCATTTTTGCTAAGTGTTTTTCATACCATTGAAGACTCTCTAAACCTTTTCTGACATTTGTTTAGGTGAAGGCTCTATTCCTGCTTTTATTTTCTCTCCTCGCCCTTATCCAAGGAGAGTAGTTCTGCACGTCAATTTTATGACTCTGTTTTAGTTTGAACTTCAAGAAACATGCAACAGAAAGATACTAGAGATAAGTTAGATGCCAGCAAGAAACTCAACAATGATGGAAAAACTTTTGAAAATGCAACTCGTTCAGCCTTGAGCCGATTGACTGTTTTGTCACCGGATGTAGATAATCAGCATGTATAAGATAAGAGGTGCAGTTCGTGAACAACATGTGTGCTTCGCGCATTTTTTGTGGTTTTTCCATTTCCAAAGTTGAATTTTTTGCTGGTATCTACCTTATCTTTAGTATCTTTCTGTTGCATGTTCTTGAAGTTCAACTAAAACAGAGTAATACAATTGTCGTGCAGAACTACTTTTCCTGGATAGGGGCGAGGAGAGGAAATAAAAGCAGAAATAAGGTGTTTACCTGAACAAATGTCAGAAAGGGTTCAGAGGGCCTTTGATGGAAAGAAAAAACACTTTGCAAAAATGCCGACTAGGGCGGAGAGCAAACCCGCATCCTACGCCTATGAAGCGAGACCACTACCACTATGCCACGTCGGCGCTTGATACTGTAGCGACGAGTTCGCATATCCAATTAATTCTACCGTCAGGCAATTTTCGAGCCCCCATAACTTTTTGAAGGGAACCATTTTGCACTTTGATTTCCATTTTCGCAAACAGCATTCGAAACTATCGATTTATCTGGGTCCCCGTTCAAAGTCCCACGGTAATTAGTCTACCCCTCCTTGGTAAGTGGTTTCTCGAACCACGAACTGTTTTCACCACCGATGACTGCTTTGTACCATCGTTTCCGTATTGAAGTTCAAACAGGTTCCTAAAACTCATCCGGAACTGTGTCTTCAGAAGCCTAATGAATATCCTTTTCGCAGTCGTTTCAGAATCGCATTAGAACTACGCCCCATTCCTCACGAGGACATTTTCAACACGTCCCAGCACTCTAATGTACGACGATCTGGCTCTCCAGAATTGCTCGTGCTCGACTATGATGAACAAAGTAGGTGTGCATTTCGTGCCCCTTATTGCTTACACGGAATCAATATCGTTAAATAATCTTTATCTATAGAGCGAATAATGTGTTGGCACTCTACATCAACGAATACTAGTGCCTCAGTTGTTGCCGCACGATATGAAAGGTCTGAAATGTTCCGGCTGCCCTCGGATGTGACGACTGACTTTTTCCAAACACTGGACTGGTCTCAAGTTCAAAACCATGTCAAAAATGCAGCTCCATCCCCAGTACCGCCATCAAATCCACCTCATCGCAGTCCTTCAGCTTCTTCTCTACCTCCTCCTCGAGGTGAAGGTCAAGCAGCAGATCCATTCGCATTGTTCACAACTTTATCCGATAATCAGCCTGCCTCATTATCAATGGTTACGTCGCCCAGTTGGAGTATCCCACGGCCACTCGTGAGTTAAAATACAACTGCATAATATCAGTGGAAAAAGCTCGATCATAAGCTTTTCTTGGAAAAACTTATTAATAGGAGGTAGCGCTATTTTAGGATATAGTCAAATTCAGTTTTTTTTATTTCGTCTCGAGGTGGGCTTGCGATGCCATCAAATATAGTTCACAGAATTTCACCGTTGGCTATGGTAATCAAACATAAGCGTTCACTCGATCAGCGAGACGTACATCTTTGTTTTGTCCAGGTTCCTACTTTCAAGGCTGGTTTTTATTTATCCCATTCAGTGCTCTTCTCAGTCGATTCATACGTTGTTCCTCCTCGTAGGCATATCAGTGCATGTGTGTGTGGAGATTTCGTGGGTGCTGCTGGTATCCTACGTGCTTGCTCAGCCAAATTTGCAGTCCAGGACTTCGCTTCGCACTAGCTAATCATTGATGTACCCCATAGTGGAACAGATCACATCATCTTTGTTTGAATGTTTTGCGCGACTGATGTCGCCGTTCCTTCGGAGTTCTACACGGTCCCTCATCACATGCACGCTGAATTCTGTTTTCATGTCGTAGAGAGAGAGCCGATCACGATCATCGAACACCATTGTGATAGTGCTAGGGAAGCAGAGAGCTCGGACTGATAGGGCGCGTAAAAGCGAAAGAGCTGAAAGACATCATCAACCAACGTGCGAACTTGCCAATCTTTGTCAAGACGCGATAAAAGAAGATCTCAAAGAAAAAAGTGATGCTGATTTGGTCGCCGAGATGGGAACAGCTCGCAGTAACTGCGAGTTACAGGTACAAAATGGTTTGTTTTTGGTGCCTAAATGGAATATGCATTACATCCCACAAGTCATTTCAACAAACGGTGAATGTGTAATACGGTAAGCAGAGCTGTACATGCAAGAGGCAGAAGAGCATATAAAATTTCTTGTGATTCCAATAATAGCCGCACCGAAGGGCACTATGGGATACAAAAAAGCAGAACTTGTTAAATGCGAAGCCGGAGGGGTAGGAAAGCCAGTGTTTCCGAAGTCAAGACTATCAAAATAGCGCAGATGTAAATCGATTGGGTGAACCTTCAGTAAAAAGGCAGCGGAGCAAGACCTATAGCAAGAGTTACGCATGTCCAGCACGCATAAGGACGTGCTCACTCTTTTCATTTTTTTCCTGGTCTCTGCGCCTCAATTGAACCGAGTTATGAATACATCTGAAAAATACCGCCCATTTTGAGAAAGCTCCCCCCACAGCACGTGGGTGTCCTCCATCTGGTTTGTTGACCCAATCCTCACCTTTGAACATTTTTCCTCGGTGTCTGCACTTCTTCGACGCAAAAATGTTTGACTGTTGGGACCGCCCACTCCCGCACTTGCCCCGCCCCCCATGAGCGGAGCTCTGCAAAGCTCGTACATGCTTTTATTGATTTTGTCTCTGAAGGTGACCTCTGAAGGTGTTTTTTCAGGTAAAACCGGATTGTGCGACACACAAACATACATACATACATACATACATACATACA